TGAGTTCTACAAGACCTCCAAAGAATACCAGTACTCCTCAGATTATTCCATGAAATAGAAAAAGAGGGAATACTTCCAAACTCATTCTATGAGACCAATTTCACCCTGATTCCAAAACCAGATAAAGACACACTAAGGAAAGTAAACTTCAGACCAATATCTCTAATGAACATAGATGCAAAAATTTTATTCTCAATAAAATTCCAGCAAATGTAATACAAAAACATATTAAAAACATAGTGCACCATGATCAAGTGGGGTTCATCCCAGGGATGCAAGGTTGGTTCAATATATGGAAATCAATAAATGTAATTCATCACATCAATAGACTTAAAGATAAGAATCATATGATTATCTCAATAAATGCAGAAAAAGCATTAGACAAAATACAGCACCCCTTCATGTTCAAAACATTAGAAAAATTAGGAATAATAGGAACATATTTCAACATTTTAAAAGCTTTCTATGCTAAGCCCAAGGCCAACATCATTCTAAATGGAGAATAATTGAAAACATTCCCTCTAAAAACTGGAACAAGACAGTGATGCCCTCTTTCACCACTTCTATTTAATGTAGTCCCTGAAACTCTAGCCAGAGCAATTAGATGAAAGAAATTAAAAGATACAAATAGAAAAAGAAGAACTCAAACTATCACTATTTGCCAAAGACATGATTCTATATTTAGAGGATCTGAAAAATTCTGCCAGAAAACGTCTAGGACTAATAAATGAATTCAGCAAAGTAGCAGGATATAAAATCAACACCCATAAATCAAATGCATTCCTATACATCAGTGATGAATCCTCTGAAAGACAAATTAGGAAAACTACCCCCTTTACAATAGACTAAAAAAAAAAAATTGGGGAAATCAACTTGATGAAAGTGGTGAAAGACCTCCACAATGAAAACTACAGAATGCTACAGAAAGAAATTAAAGAAGACTTTAGAAGATGGAAAGATCTCCTTTCTTCTTGGATAGGCAGAATTAATATTGTCAAAATGACTGTACTATAAAAAGCACTATACAGATTTAATGCAATTCCAATCAAAATCCCAATGGCATTCCTTATATGAATAGAAAAAGCAGTCATGAAATTCAACCAACCAATCTGCAAAGAGACCAAGAATATCTAAGGCAATCCTTAGCAAGAAGAGTTAAGTAGGTGGCATCGTTATACCAGACCTTAAACTATCCTACAGAGCAACAGTAACAAAACCAATATGGTACTGGCACCAAAATAGACTGGTAGACCAATGAAGAATAGAAGACACAGAGACTAACACCATAATTACAGTTATCTCATACTAGACAAATGTGCCCAAAAATGTTAGAGAAAAGATAGCCTCTTCAAAAAATGGTGCTTGGAAAACTGGAAATCCACATGCAGCAAAATGAAATTAAGCCCCTATCTCTCACCCCACACAAAACTCAAAGTGGATAAAGGACCTAGGAATTAGACCAGAGACCCTGCACCTAATAGGAGAAAAAGAAGGCCCAATTCTTCACCATGTTGGATTAGGCCCTGACTTCCTTAACAAGACTCCCAAAGTGCAAGAAATAAAATCAAGAGTCAATAAATGGAATGGATTCAAACTGAAAAGCTTCTTCTTAGCAAAAGAGAGAGCCTACAGAGTGGGAGCAAATTTTTACCACACACACATCAAATAGAGCACTAATCTCCAGGATATATAAAGAACTCAAAACACTTAACACCAAAGAAACAAATAATACAATCAATAAATTGGCTAAGGGGGACCAGGGTTGTGGCTCAGTGGTAGAGCACTTGCCTAGCATGTGTGAGGCACTGGTTTCGATCCCTGGCACCACATTAAAAATAAAGAAATAAAATAAAAGTATTGTGTCCATCTACAACCAAAAAAATATTTTAAAAAATAATTTAAAAATTGGGCTAAGGAATTGAACAGATACTTCTCAGATACACAATCAATCAACAAATATATGAAAAAATGTTTAACATCTCTAGCAATTAGAGAAATGCAAATCAAAACTATTCTAAGATTTCATCTCACTCCAGTCAGAATGGCAGTTATTAAGGAAAAAAGTAACAATAATTGTTGGCAAGGATGTGGGACAAAAGGTACTCTTTTACATTGCTGATGGGACTGCAGATTGGTGCAACCAATCTGGAAAGCAGTATGGAGATTCCTTAGAAAACTCGGAATGGAACCACCATTTGACCCAGCTATCCCACTCCTTAGTTGATACCCAAAGGACTTAAAAACAGCATACTACAGGGACACAGCCACATCAATGTTTATAGCAGCACAATTCACAATAGCTAAATTGTGGAACCCACCTAATGCCCTTCAGTAGATGAATAGATACAGAAACTGTGATATATGTGTGTGTGACACACACACACACACACACACACACACACTCACACTGGAATATTACTCAGCATTAAAAGAGAATAAAATCATGGCATCTGTAGGTAAATGGATGGAGTTAAAGAATATTATGCTAAGTGAAGTTAGCCAATCCCCCCAAAACCAAAGACTGAATGTTTTCTCTGATAAGTGAATGCTGATCTATAATGGAGGAAGGGCGGGAGCATGGGAGAAATGGAAGAACTTTGGATAGGGCAAAGGGGAGGGAGGGGAACGGAGAGAGACTGGGTATAGGAAAGATAGTAGAAGGAGATGGACATCATTACCCTAGGTACATGTATGAAGAAATGAATGGTGTCACTCTACTTTATGTACAACCAGAGAAATGAAATATTGTGCTCCATTTGTGTACTATGAATTGAAATGCATTTTGCTGTCATGTATAACAAATTACAACAAATTAATTAATTAATTAATTAAAAAAAGAATCATAAGGGATGAAGGAAGACACAAATACAAAAAGAAGTGAATAAAAAGTGTACTAAGATGTGATTAGTTTCTGATTTTCATTTTTTTAGGATCTAGAAATGTGCATTGCATAGAATTTTAAAACACTTGAAATTTCAAATTTTAATAGAACTGACTTGACAATGAGGCAACAGCTTGTCTGATTTATCCCTTGTTGATGGGAATGATGCCATAGAGCACAGAAGTGATTTGGTCACTGTCATACATGATGAAAAACATTTTAAATTCAATCTGACACACTTATATTCAACACCCATATATTTATTAGGCATTTATTCTACATCAAATAATTTTTTTCCACCTGTCTTGTCAAATAACAAATGAATTTAAAATTTTTAAAATGAGAACATTTTGACAGGCTTATGTAATAAAAATTTGCGTTTACAAAGGCTAGAACTGGTGGAAAGCCATGTTTTAAAGGATGTAAATAAGAGAAAAGTCACTCAGAGAATTTAAAAGGAGACCCCCTCCCAAAAGGGTAAAATATCCATTGTTTATGTCAGAGAAAATACTTACATATAATATCTATGCTTTTACTAGCATATGCCTTTTTTTACATATATGTTCATAGTGGCTGTTTTAATTAAGACCATTTTACACAGCATGAATTAGAGCCTGCATATAAGATCGGCAGGCAAAATCTTGTTAATTCTGACTATGGAAAAGAACTTGAAATTCACTAGATGAAAAATCAATCAATCCCATAAACTATATCAGATTATTCTTACCTTTAACGGAATCAGGTGAATGAATAGATTTGGTAGATCTATACTGTGATGTGGAACCCACTGACTCTTCAGCTGAACTAGTCAGGAGTGAATGCACTGGAGATTTCTTAGGAGAACAACTGAATGAACGGGAAGCTGAATTTTTCACTGTTGGACTTGCTGAAATTTTGCAAGAATAAAAGTAAAAGACAGTGATTAAAAATAGCATACTATATCAAACTTTTGCATCCAGAGAGCTTGCTTTTATATAGATCATTTTGTTTATGATTTCTTAGAAATGAGAGCAAGGTCCATCTCAATTCTCCTAATGAATAAAAGTAATGAATGATCAGAAATCAGAAGTGATAGCCCACAATTAAATTCTTGTTTAAATGCAGAAATCACACCTGTAAGCCAACCTGTAGAAATATTAATAAGCACCATCAAGGCCTATTTCAAAGGTAAAAGGCCATGGGACTCACCTGTGGAAACACTTCAACCAACTCCTTTGTTCCAGAGGTGGGAAAACCAGAGGTAGGGCTGAACCCAGATGAAAGTTGAATGAAAAAATCAAAACTCAAAGGCCAGATAGCCATGGTGCTGTTTCAATGCCTTTTGCTCCATGCTCTACCCAGAACTATATAGAAATTCCCAAGCTAGCACACCAAAATGGTTTTTTCTGCTATTAGGCCCCCTCCTGCATGGTGGGAGTTCTAGCTCTTCTTGCTTAAATAAATTCTGCTCTGTTTATTCTTCCCTTGCATGACTGTCTCTGGATTTTATTCTTTAAAATTTGTGAGACAAGAACCCAGAGGAAATTGGCAAAACTGGGAATCTAGTCTAATCTCAAAAACTCCTGTTTCACTATTTTAACTTTTTCCATCAGAAGTCTGCTGTTATAAAGATCATTTTGATTATAATTCTTAGAAATGAGAGTGTTGTCTGGCTCAATTCTCCTTTTTCTTTCACCCAATCAGTATTTGTTGAGCACCTGTTTTCTATCAGATAGGTTCAAGGTTCCTGGGATTTATCAGGAAACCAAATAGTTAAAGACTGTGTAGCTTTTGCTTAATTTATGTAAATTTTGTTTAATTTATGGAGCTAACATAAATCAGTAAGTTGCATAGTATGCTACAAGATAATGTGTAACTTTTAAAAGGAAAAGGTTAAGGGGGATTGAAAGTAGAGGAAAAGGTTGTGGTTTTCAAAAAAGGTGGTAAGGGTTAAATCTCATTGGAAACATAACATCTGAGCAAAACTTTAAGAAAGGTGAGGGGGTTAACAATTCGGAGGCACAGTAGGCCCTAACGGGGAGCACCTGACATGTTCAAGGACAATTCAAGAGTGGATAAAGCAGAATGAATGGGAAGTAACAGGAAAGTTAATGGGGTCTTAGAGGTTACAGTCATGACTTTGGCTTTCAAGCTCATGAAAATGGGGAGTTGCAGGGTTTTTAGCAGGTCCTGTCTTTGTGCTTTTGTAACAGTGGTCCACTGCACCTTTTTAATAGACCCTTCACAGCTCATTTTAAAAGAGACATGTTTTTCTTTTCCTTTTTCCCCTCTCCCTCTCTCTAACCCAGTGGCAGGGAACAGGATTACCCTTTACCCATCCTAGACCTCATTCATCATCTGTATTTGAGCACACACCCACCACAGGGACCAAGTAATTCACACTTGGAGGTTGGCACCATTAGATCTAAGGAATGGCTATCTCCCAAATTAACAACTGAATCACAACCTCCCCCCCACTGAGGACTCGCCTTTGAAGAACTTCTTTAAAAGCCCTCTTCTCCCTGATGGGCAGAATCACAGCCTCTGGGACAGGGGTCCCCTGTGTTTCTCCTTTGCTAGAAAAGCAATAAACCTTTTTTCTTTTTCTCAAAACTATGTCTTTATTAAATTGCCATCAGGGGCAAGGACAAGCTTTTGGTAGCACTTTCATTGAAGACTCACCTGTGCATTGAAAAGCGAAACAACTAGATGGATCTTCTAGGTCTCCTGCGTTCAACATAACTGGCTCTCTGGAAACATCAAAACAGTACGGAAAGTATTCTGGTTATTCTGGTTATAAAGTATTCTTATGAACTCCTGTCAACATAGGCAAATTTGATGGCTTAAAGTAAAACTTAAGGTGGCAATCATAATCCTAAACTGTAGGAGTCTTAACATACCCTAAGATGGAGATTTGAAGTTGCGTTGTCACTTTGCATTCTGCACCCATGAACATTTTTCAGGATGAAGTAACATATAATTTTGGTCATAAAATTCATGTTTGAGTAATAATCCTACAAACCAAATCATCTTTTCATGAATTTTAAGAAATGCCTTAATGACTCATTTAAAATTGAAGAAACCAAAGAGAGCAGCAATAACAAAAATCTCTTAGCGTTAGTAGTATCAGTTTACAAAAGTATAAGACTTAATTAAATAAAAAAGTTAAACTATGCAGTTCTTTGTGAATTGGGTAGTTTAAGAAGGCCATAGCAGTTTTCAAGGTGGTTTGTGAGATCAAAGCTATTTTCATTAAGATGTTCTCAGAAAATACCAGAGGAGTTCCCCCACAACGTGCTGTGCTGATAGCTGATATCATGGCAAGTTAGATCCAATTTTTCTTTTTCTTTTATTTTTGTGATACTGGGTATTGAACCTAGAGGCTTGCACTTGCTAGGCAAGTGCTCTATAACTGAGCTACATTTTCACCCCTTTTTATTTATTTTGAGACAGGGTCTTGCTAAATTGCCCAGGTTGGCCTTGAATTTATAATCCTCCTGCCTCAGCCTCCCAAGCAGTTCCAGTTGTCTTTTGTTGTTGTTGTTGTTCTTTTTAGTTATAGATGAAAATAGAATATATTTTGACATATTATACATATGTGGAGTACAACTTTTCTATTCTTCTGGTTGTACACGATGTGAAATTACATTGGTTATGTATTCATATATAAATATAGGAAAGTTATGTCAGATTCATTCTACTATCTTTCCTATTCCCATTCCCCTTCCCTTAATTCTCTTTTGTCTAATCCAAAGTGCTTCTATTCTTCCCTACTCCCTCCCTTATTATGAATTATCATCTGCATATCAGAGAAAACATTTGCCTTTGGCTTTTGGGGATGGCTTATTTCACTTAGCATGATAGTCTCCAGTTCCATCCATTTACCAGCAAATGCCATAATTTAATTCCTCTTTATGGTTGAATATATATATATTAGTATATACAACATTCTGTTGTGTATATTACACCATTTTCTTTATCCATTCATCTGTTGAGGGTCATTTAGGCTGGTTCCATAGTTTAGCTATTGTGAATTGAGCTGCTATAAACATTGATGTGGCCAAGTCACCATTATACGCTGACTTTAAGTCTTTGGGGTATATGCTGAGGAGTGGGATAACTGGGTCAAATGGTGGTTCCATTCCAAGTTTTCTGAGGAATCTCCATACTGCTTTCCAGATTGGTTGTACCAATTTGCAGTCCCACCACCAATGTATGAGTGTACATTTTTCACTATATCCTTGCCAACATTTATTGTTACTTGTATTCTTTATAATTCCAATTCTGGACAAAGGGCTATAGAACTAAATAATACAATCAATAATTTAGACTTAATATATATATATAATATATATATATATAAATAGTATTTCATCCATCAATGACTGAATATACTTTCTTCTCAGCAGCACATGACTCCTTCTCTAAAATTTTGACCATATCTTAGGCCACAAAACAACTCTTAGCAAACACAAAAACTAGAGATGATACCTTGCATTCTATCAGAGCATATTAGAATAAAATTAGAAATCAACCATAAAATAAAAAATAGAAGCTATTCTAACACATGGAGACTAAACAATATGTTATTGAATGATTAATGTGTAGCAGAAAAAATTAGAGTGAAATAATAAAAATACTTAGCAGTAAATGAGAATAATGACACAACATATCTAGTTGTCTTTTATTAAGCCATACGTTAAACTATGGAACAATATCCTCTCCATGATTTTTTTGAAGGATATAGGTGTTTTTTTCCCCCTCATAAAATGTAGTATTCTGGTAATTTCATTGTTGAAGAAAGCAATTTTTCTAAGTCATTGAAAACTATACAGCAGAGCTTTAGTTGTCTTAAGGGAGTAACTACTCCACTCAACCTCTACCTACATAGTTCAGCTTTGGTCCCCAAAAGCAGTACATAGTAGGAGTCACTAGCATATACTTAGGAGACAGCTCCACCCAAATTCAAATCTGGGCTCCATTGTGTAAAAATTATATGACCTTATCAAGTTGTTGAAGAAATCTCTCAGTTTTCATTTCTAACCTACATATAGGAAAATAATGCCTACCTCATAGATTAGATGAGGTAGATTAAATATGTTTAAAACAACCAGAAAATAGAAAAAATAAAATACAGTAAGGTTACTATTAATAGGTACTATGTGGTGTTATATCCTCAAGTGAAAAGGAAATCAAAATTTCACTTTTTATATTAATAGAAAGGTATATTAAGAAAGACTCAAGTTTACAATTTTGTGGTCAAGTAGCAGAGGGTGTAAGATAATATTTTTAATGCTGTCTTGAATCATTCCCTAAATAAATATTTACTAAAGGGCTATTAGGTGGTAGGCATTATGCTTGGTGCTGAAGATGTGGTGATGAATGAGCCTCAGCTTAACTGAAATTACAACAGTAGAAACCATTTTCCTACTCTAAGACAAAAAGAGGGCTCTGTTAGCTCTATTTTTTATGGGTGGTAAAAACAGAAAAATAAAAATAAGTTTTTGCCAGTGGCTGGTCAATAAGTAGACCTTGAGAATAGGTCTATTTTGCTCACTCTAATTTTCTAAGGGTTTAGCACAGCACATGGCACATTATGGATAGTAAATAATCTTTTAAAAAAATATTTTTTTAGTTGTAGGTGGACACAATACTTTTATTTTGTTTATGTTGTGCTGAGTATCAAACCCAGGGCCTCACACATGCAAGAGGAGCACTCCATCACTAAGCCCCAGTCCCAGCCCCTAGTAAATAATCTTTGAGTTAATTAATGAAGAACAGTAAAAGGTACATTTTGAAAATTGGAGGCTGGTAAGATAATTTCTTACCTGCTGAGTGTTTCACTGGACTTGCTCCCTTCGGTAGAGTCCCTTAATGAATTGTTGCTTCTGTCAGTAGAAGAATGGGAAAAATTAAAGACTACATAATGTTACTTCCTTATCAGTCTAGTAAAGGTCTGTGAGAGAAATAATTTGTTTTGTCACGGGGAACTGAACCAAGAGCTTTGTGCATGCTACACCCTAGCCTGATTTAGTCTCCTCCAGGATGAAATGATACTATATGGCAGACAGGTTAACATATCACAGAGCATTAATTATATAACAAAATTATCTAATGAAATAAAATAGTTCATCTGAATATTACTCTCAGATGCAGATTCAAAGGAGTCTGGGCCTCTGACTTTTCCAGGTATAGAGAAAATTATATAGAGAAAAGCTTGAAGACAAAAAGACATGAAGCTCTAGGAATTGGGAGTAATCTGGTTTGATTAGAACATAAAATGGGAGTAAAGGCAGACGGCTGATAAATTAGGAGATTCTTCAGTGCAGACCAACGGATAATGTACTTCTTGCAACAGGCAGTGAGTTACTGAAAATATCAAGCAATGAATAATAAATTAATAGTAATCTGTTTTTCCTTTTTGGCTAAAGTGTTCTCAGAAGTTGTCTTGATTTTTTTTGAATCTTACTTTAAGATTGTGGATTTCATTTTTTTATGTTCTTATTATTTAGTGAGTTCATTTAAAATTCAGCTATTCAACTACTAATGAAAGTAGACTTGTTTTTAGTAAGGTTTTTATAAACCTGTGTTGAAGTTGTTATAATTCCCTTCTGTACCATTCTTCTCTTTCATTTATATAAGCCATTGTAAACATGTATAGAACAATCTTTTTGGTATGGCATGCCTTATAATAAATAGCGTCAGATGGCTAAATATCAGTGCTATGGACTGGATGTTCATAGTTCCTCAAAGGCCCATGTGTGGAAGGCTTGGTCTCCAGGATGGTGCTATTGGAAGGTGTGGAACCTTTAGGAGATGGAACCTTATGGGAGGTCCTTAGGTCATTGTGACATGGGCCTAAAGGAGATTGTAGGAAACAGCTCTTTCTATTTCTCTTTTGCTTCCTGTAAATGATGTGAGAAGTTTGCTCCATCACTTGTTTCCCATCACTGTTATCAGGAAGCCCAACAGAGTCCCAAAGCAATGGGTCTACCACATCTTAGACTGCAACTTCTAGAACTATGAACTAAATAAACCCTTTATAAGTTAATTATCTCAGTTTTTTGTTGTTGCTGTTTGTTTTGTACTGGGGATTGAATCCATGGGCACTTTACCACAAAGCTACATCCCCAGTTCTTTTTTATATTTGATTTTAATATAGGATCTCACTAAGTACTATGGCTGGCCTTGAGTTTGTGATATTCTTGCCTCATCCTTCTGAGTTGCTGAGATGACATCTCCAGGAATTTTGTTATAGTGAGGGAAAACTGACATAATCAGTGAAATCTAAAATAAGCAAAAAAGAAATGCCTATAAAGTTGGTTTCTAGAAAGTAAATCAAGTTCATTTCATTGAAATCCCTTTTAGAGTCAATTTAACAATGGAAGGAGTTTTCTTCACTGAAACCAATATGCCCATGAAGTTCCATGAAAACAGTCCAAATAGACTTTGTAAGTTACCAGCCCACATATAAATCCTGGACAATTAATTAGATTCAGATTTTCAGATTCTTCTTACCTATGACATATCTCTGATCTCATGCTTGATTCAGTCATGCAATCTCTTACTCTTTCATTTCTGTGCAGACACATATAATTTTCAGTTAATTATATATAGGTCAATTTCCAGATTCTATGTCTTTTTAAAAATCAATTGCTCACATGAATTCAATTTTTTATAAGCTAAAAATGTGGATTTTAGGCCTCCAAACAAATTTAATAAAGGGTTACCTCTGGAATTCATAAAATCAAAAATAATTTCCTTCTATGGATTCTTAAGTGTTACGCAGAATGTAGGCTGTCAGGACAAAGGTCGTTTTGTAGGATTACAAAAAATTAACATAAGTTCTCTAAAGGTAGGGATCAAATACATTCATGTTTGACATAGTCCAAACAGCTCAAGTGTGTCACTAGTGGCAGGAGTGATGGAAACCTGACCAGGGAAGCCACGTTAATCCTGTGGATGATCAGTGCTAGGAGCCAGGGGTTCTAGCTTTTACTTCTGGGTTTGTTTCTTAGCTTCATAGAAGGAGGCGAGTTAATCTATGTCCAAATTCACTCACCTATCTAATGAACTAAATATTACTATTCTGTCTTAGAAGGCATATTATAGTTATCACAAAAATGAAAGTGTTCTTCAAGTGAAAGTATTCTTTAATGGAGTAGCCAACAGAACATTTCTGACAATATATGATTCAAACAATGAAATGATATGTTAAGCAATTGTACTGTTATTGATATTTTACTATTATTATTAATAATATTTATAACAATGAGATAAATCCAGCAAATATTTTGGCACCTTGAGTAAATATATACTAATTGAACATCTTAAGGAACTGGATATTGTTTATATAGATATTATATCAGAAAGTAGTATTTTTAGATATTTGCCAAATAACCAGAAATAAATATTAGAAAAATGAAAAAATATAAAAAAATATACATCATTTTAAAATGCTTTAAGATAAGGTATGGTAAATGACAATGCACAATAAAGTTAAAAAGCATTTTTGAAAAGAATATGAGAATCTCATTGATTTCCACAGTACAGATTAGTGAGGTACTAAATCCTTTTTGGCTCTGACCTTTTATTAATTGGGTATGTGTAATTGTCATGAATGCCTAGAGAATGAAGGTTCTTCCCTAGTTTACACTGAGAGTGTTCTGTAGTTCTCAAGTATCTAGTTTTAGCTCCACCACTGGATCATGTGTTGTAAGCAAACACATGCTAGTTGTTGTGATGGCTAAATAAGATTATGGCTCTCAAATTTGCTGGGAATTATAAATTCCTATACAAATATAACTTTGAGTAACACCTTGGACTGCTACTTTTTGAATGAATGACTATATTATTTTTTGTTGATGTCAAGTTTTTTTTTTTTTTTGCTTTTGGTTAATTTTTGTCTAACTCCTCCACTTTCATATTGCTTCCCCCTGCTAACTTCAGACACTCTTACAAATTATTTAAACCTCAGCCTCCCAGAGAGTAACATGTGGACAACTTAATGGCAAACCACTCATGAGAGGAGCTTCCTACTCCGAGTGTGCTTGGTCCCATGCAGCACATACAAGGCTCCGAGAGATGGTGTTCTCCCACTCTCCTCAGGTTTGGTCAGAGGCAAGGACGGCTCCTCATTAATCACACTTCTCAGTTCTTGGAGAAGCTGTTTCAGGTCCCTTGTTGGATCTTCCTTCAGTACATTAGCCTTCATGCAGTGCTGAATTAAAATAATGAACAAAACAAAGACTTTTTTCAGATGTGAATGTTATTTTCTGTCATAAAATTAACCAGCTCTTAAATAGAAATTATGGAAGAGCAAGAAGAGGAAAATAAAATTGACTACACAGGTATAAAAATCTTACTCCACTCTGGAATAAGCAATAATAATCAATCAATAATTGATAGAGTACTATAACTTAATGTGTGTATATGTATGTATATGTGTGTGTGTTTGTATATTCAAGTGTATTTATATATACATATGTGGTTTCAAATTATACACATTAATTTTTAATTTTAACAATGTAGTATGAACATCCTTAGCATGCTATGAAATATTTTCAATTACATCTGGGCAAAACAATTTTGTTACTTTGTTTAGAGACAAATTAATTTTTTTTATGGTCTGGGGATTGAACCCAGGGCTTGTGCATGTGAGGCAAACACTCTACTAACTGAGCTATATCCCCAGCCCATAGAGATAAACTAATTTTATAAAGCTACAGAACTTTAGAAGTAAACAACAGATGAATTAATCTATTTTCATTTCACTAATGAAGAAAAAGACATCCAATATTTTCAAACTGTTAGTTGACATTTGATAAAGACTGATGTAGTATTCTCCAATGAATATTTACAATAATAATAAGTGTAGAAGTACCTAATAGGCACATCAAGAAGGGAAGCCACATGGTAGTCAGAAGTTGCCACAGTGAGTATGTGGACTCAGTGTGTCACTGAGCTATTCTACCTGAGTCGTGCATTCCATTGTAGATTTACATCTGCAGGGCAGATTGATTCTGAGAGTTGAACACCGTAAAATTTTGGTTCTTTGGGCTTTTCCCCACTTCCCACCTTCACTGATAGAGCATGTACAATATCCAGCTGGAGATATCATGAGCTCTAACTCAAAAGTGTCACAGTGTTGTCTTTCTAGTATACAAATGGTCATCTTGCCACAATGAGTCTAAAGTTTCATAAACTAGATTCCATTAAATTATTAAATTTGACTGTCTTCACTTAAAAAGTATAAAGATGTGAACCAGTTTCTTAATCATGAGTGAAAACATCTCTTTCCTAGTAGATTATCCCATTTTACTAATCCCTGGGTTTGTTCTTGTTCTAACCTTGAGACACATAATATCCACCATGGAATAACATCTCATAAACTTGATTAAGAAAACTTAATCCTATTGTAGTCCTCAGTCACTTTAGCTCTATCCTGGACTTCATATCTTCTGTCCACTAGAAAGTTTATTTAATAAGCTCTGGCAATTATTAAAATGTATAAGTACTTGACATTTATTACAAATGATCAGTATCACTGGGTGTGGTGGCAATATGCTTATCTGCCCTTGCTTGATCACCAAAGCATGAGGGAGATGGAAAAACACCTTTAACATTTTGATGTGTTTGCTTCCCATTGTTTTGGGATGTGCAAATTTATAGAACAAGTTAAAAGGACTATTTTAGGTTTGGGTTTTAGTAAAACAGGAGTAAGTTTCTTTTCTTCTTACCTTACACCTTCTATCTCTGGTAGCTGCTATGTTGGGCCCCTCTGAGGTTGAGAGAGTAGGAGAGAGAGGTATTGTGGGGGAACTAAGGCCCTACCTGAGTGGTCCTGGTTTGATGTCTGGGGACTTTAGAAGCAGAGGACCAGGTTTCTGAGCCTTATTTATACATGCTCCTGCCCAGCCCTGAACTCTCAGCAGTTTTTATATTTGTGGTGGTCCTACTAGGTGGTCCCCTTTAGTAGGATTCTTTTCTAGGGCCTGAATATGGTACATAAGAAGCAGGTTTTTTAACTTTGCCCTCCTCTGGGGGGAGTGTCACATAACACCAAGAAGGCAATACTCTTTACTTTGCCAAGTATAGATAAGCTATTCATTATAGACTTCTCTCAAGAAATATAATAAACCAAACCCTACAGAACACTTGTCAGGCTCTGGAAAAGTGTCCCTGAAACTCCATAATTCACTTGCTGCAGGGGAGGAGGGAAACAGCTCATAGAAAAGTTCCCTCCAATATTTCTTTCTATGGGTCCCTTCAACTTCCACGCTTTCTTCTTTCAAAATCTTGAATTGATGACAAGCCAAGAGTAGTGAAGAAGTTATCACAGTCTTTTAGCTTGTGTGGTATAGATGATATAGGTCCTGTGTAGGGGCTGGGCATGTAGCTCAGTGGTAGTGCACCTGCCTGGCATGTGTGAGGCACTGGGTTCAATTCTCAGCACTGCATATAAATAAACAAAATGAAGGTCTATCAACAACTAAAACATTTTTAAAAAGTTGTCTGTGTATACACATACTCAGTCACCAGATTTGAAAGATCATGAGCATTTTCCCACTGAACATTAGTTTAAAATGCAATTGATGTAATAACATACATGCAATCTAGTGATGTGAGAGGCGAAGGCAAAAGGATCATAGTTTGTGGTCTGCCTCAGCAACTTAGTGAGACCATGTATCAAAATAAAAAATAAAAAAGGACTGGGGATATAGCTCAGTAGTAGAGCACCCCTGGGTTCAATCCCTAGTACTGGAAGAAAAACAATCCATTACAAATGATGAATATCGCTGGGTGTGGTGGCAATATGCTTATCTGCCTCACGTTTCTAATTTTTTAAACAAGTGCTAAGTCCAGAAAAATGATAACCTAAATGAAAGAGAACAGGTTCTTGAAAGCTAATCTGCCCAAACCCAAACAAGAAGAAACAGACAATTTAAATGGGCAAATATCTATTAAAGTAATTGAACTGATAATTAATAACCTTCCAAACAGAAAGTACCAGACTCAGGTGGGTTCACTGAAGAATTCTATTGGACATTTGAGGAAGAAATGATACTAATTTTTCCACTTTCTTTCAGAAAATAGATGTCAAAGGGATACTTCTTCTTTCATTCTATGAGTCCAGCATTAGCCTAATACAAAAGCCCAAGACATTGCAAGAAAAGAAGACCAGTATCTTCCAGGAATATAGATATAAAAATTCAAAAGAAAATATTAACAAGTTGAGTTCAACAATATCTAAAAAATTATATACCTCAACATAATGGGATTTACTCCAGGTATGCAAGGCTGGATTAACTTTCAAAAATCAATTAATATCATACATCACATCAAAAGATCAAAGAAAATCAACCATATTAATAAATGCAGAAAAAGAAACTGACAAACTTTTAAAAATTTTAAGGTACTGGGGGCAGAAGCGCAATGGTAGACCACTTAATTCGCACATGTGAGGCACTGGGTTCAATCCTCAGATCATAAATAAATAAATAAAGATGTATAACCATCTACAACTAAAAAAATATTTAAAATATTTTGAGGTACTAGAATTGAATCAAGGGGTGCTTTACCACTAAGCTATATCCCCAGCCCGTTTTATTTTTTATTTTGAGACAAGCTCTCACTAATTGACCAGGCTGGCTTTCAAACTTATGATGCTCTTGCTTTAGTCTCCTGAGCATCTGGGATTATGGCATGTACCACCACGCTCAACAATGTCTGACAAAATTTAACAGCCATCCATGATAAAATCTCTCAGCAAACTAGAAATAGAAGGAGGGATTTCCTCAATTTGAGAAAGAAAATGTACAAAAATCATATAGTTAACATGATATTTAATGACTAGAAACTAGATGCTTTCTCATTTAGATCAGAAATATCAGAATATCTCTTTTCACCATCACTTCTAGTCAAGATCACACTAGAAGTTCTAGCTAATGCAATATAAAACACATGCGTGCAAGCATACTCACAGAGGAAATAAAAAGTAGGCAAATTTGTAAAACAAGAAATAAAACTGTCTTTGTTCATAGCTGAAATAGCTGCCTATGTAGAAAATCCCAAAGAATCAACAACAATAACAACAACCATCAACAACAAACTCCTGGAATAAATAGGAGATTATAACAAGGTGGAAGAATATAAATTTAATTTAAAATTAAATTGCTTTCCTATATACCAGCAATAAACAATGAGAATTTGAAATTTAAAATACAATACCATTCATAATAGCCCCCCAAAATAAAATACTTAGGTATAAATTTAGCAAAATATGTAGAAAATCCAGGTAGGAAAACTATAAAATTCTGATGTAAGAAATCAAAAGATTTAAATAAATGAAGAGATATTCCATATTATGGATAAGAATATTCAATATTGTTATATCAGATCTTCCCAACTTGATAAACAAAATTCAATGCAATTCCAAAACAAAATCCCAGTAAGTTATTTTGTGGATATAGGCAAAGTGATTCTAATGTTTATATGGAAAGGCAAAAGACTCAGAATAGCCAATATGATATTGAACAAAGTCAGAGAACTGATACTATACAACTTCAAGATTTACCATAGGGGCTGGGATTCAGCTCAATGGCAGAGTCCTTGCCTACTATGCTTGAGTTCAATCCCCAGCACCACAATTCAAACCATAAAGTTACAGTAAACAAGATAGTATTGGTCAAAGAATAGACAAAAAGACCAATGGCAGAGAACAGTGAGCCCAGAATAGCCTCACAAATATGTAGTCAATTATCTTTGAAAATGAAGCAAAGGCAATTCAGTAGAGACAGGACAGTATTTAAACAAATGGTTCTGGAACAACTGAACATCCACATGGGAAAAAATGAATCCAGACACAGACCTTATATCTTTCACAAAAGGTAACTCAAAATGATCATAGTTCCAAGTATAAAATGTAAAACTATGAAAATCCCAGAAAATAACATAGGAGATGCAAACACATGATCTATGAAAGAAAACATTGATAAGTTGGGCTTCATTAAGATTAAAAATTTTTCTCTGGTAAGACAATGTCAAAAGATTAAAAAAGCAAAACACACACACTTTCAAAACACATAACTGATAATGGACTGATACTCCAAATAGACAAAACAAATAAAACAGAACAAAAAGATCTTATAAAACTCAATAAGGAAACAAATATCACAATTTTCAAAAAAATGGACAAAAGTTCTGAACAGAAATCCTACCATAATATATATAGAGATGGCAAATCATCAAATTAAAATATGGTCACATCAACATCATATATCATTAGAGAATTGCATACTAAAACAACAAGATACTCCTAAACTCCTATTAGAATGGCTAAAATGCAAAATGCTGATAACACCAAATGCTGTGCCCCAGCCTTTATGAAAGTTAGCTTGGCAGTTCCTTACAAAATTAAATATGCTGTTGCCCAAGTGAGTTGAAACCTTAACATCCACACAAAAAAATTCACTTGATTCTTTTATCACATCTTTATGTATAACTGTCAAAACTCGAAAGCAACCAAGATATCCATACTATTCAATAGTATTCAGCAATTAAAATAAATTAGCCATTAAGCCATGAAAAGATCTGAAAATGTACCTTAAAAGTATATTGCTAATATACTTTTAATATATTAAAATTGTCAAGATCATTGTACTGTCATGTGTAGCTAATAAAAAAAAAGTATATTGCTAAGTAGCCCAGCATGGTGGCACAGAGGCTAAGATAGGAGGATCACAAGTTCAAAGCCAGCCTCAGCAAAAAGTGAGGCACTAAGCAACTCAGTGAGAGCCTGTCTCTAAATAAAATATAAAATAGGGCTGGGGATGTGGCTCAGTGGTTGAGTGCCCTGAGTTCAATCCCTGGTACTTCCCAACCCAAAAAAGTACATTACTATGTAGGGAAGCCAATATACTATATATGATTCAAATTTTCATACTATATGAAAAGCCTATATGCTATATGAGTCCAACTATAAGACATCTGGAAAAGACAAAACTATGGAGATAGTAAAAAGATCAGTAGTTGCCAATAGTCCAAGTAAAGGGATGAAGGGATGAGTAAGCATAGCACAGGAGATTTTTAGGGTGATGAAACTAATGTATGCTAGTAATAGGAGATACATATCTTTAGGCATTTGTGAAAATCTATATAATTTTTTTAAATATTTATTTTTGTAGATGGTGTAGATGGACACAACCCAATGCTTTTATTTTTATGTGGTGCTGAGGATCAAACCTGGGTCCTGCCCATGCTAGGCGAGCCTGAGCCACAATCCCAGCCCCAAATCTATATAATTTATAAGACAAAGAATGAACCCTGATGTAAGCCATTAGTTAATAATGTATTGATACTGGCTTGTCAATTAAAGCAAATATACCACATCAATGCAATATGTTAATAGTAGTGTTATGGGCCAAATTACATGTGCCTTGACCAGACAAACTCCTTTTTACCCTTAGACTCCATTTCATTTAAGAAATGCTTCTCCTGAGAAAACCCTGCCTCTGCTACCTCCTTCTAAGCATATCCTGTTTGGCAATTCAGGGTGGTTGAAAGTGTTTCTGTTATTCTTATACAATGTATTATTAAGAAATGCATTTGTAAAATGTTCTCATTTTAATTCCCATTTTTCTTAGGCAGTGTACTTGAACTGGGTCATTCTGACCCACTTCCTATATTGCTATAGTTTTGACTTGTAGTTTTGGGCTATAAAAGAGATACCCTACCTCTGGCAAGGGGTTGAAGGTTGCAGAGGCAACTTGCCTACTGCCATTCTGATCCACATCTGTGAATAAAGTCTCATGTCTTGCTTCAAGACTGACCTGGTGATTTATTTCAAATGCACCACAACAATAGGAAAAACTGGATTGGGGGTGGGCAAGGGAATCTATGGGAGCTCTCTGTACTTTCTATTCAATTTTTCTGTAAAATTAAAACTGCCCTAAAAATAAAGTTTACTAAATTAAGAAAAGAAATAAAGAAATTATGAGCTTTGAAAGCAAAAAACAATCAGAAAGTCATATCAATGTGTATGCTGATCAGTCAAGTATGATACCAAGAGTGCTCATCATATTATATCCTTCCCATTATCATTTAACATGTGAATATGGTCGTTCATTGTTTGTTTACAAATGAGTTTGGAAATTGTTCATATCTATGGGTTTTTTTCATTTCTTCTTTGTGAATTTGTTACTTCAGATAACACTATTGGTGAATGTGTTATCTTTAGAACACTATTAGTGCGTGTGCTATTTTCCTCTATAGATGAACAGTTATTCATTTTTTAGCTATTGGTTGTGGTTTCCTTTTAATTTCTGTTTATAGTGGTCTGTGATTTAGGAATTTTTATTTAGTCAAATAGTCAAAATTATCAATCTTTCCTTTTAATATTTGTTTCTTAACAATCTTTTTTTTTTTTTTTTGGTAGGTAGGTACTGGGGATTAAACCCAGGGACATTTAACCACTGAGAAACATCCTCAACCCTTTTTTTGTTTTTAAGTTTGAGACAGGGTCTCACTAAATTGTTTATGGCCTTGATAAATTGCTGAGGCTGGCTTTGAACCTGCGATCCTCCTGCCTTGGCCTCCTGAGCCACTGGGATTTTAGGCATGTGCCACCATACCCAGCTTGTTCATTTTTTAAAAATACTTTACTGCTTATTACATATGAAATTCATCTTTGATTTATAACATAAGCAAAATATACTTTTAAACTTAGAAAATACCTGGGAAATAAATTCTAAAATATGATTTACATATGATTCTTGTCAGTTTAGTAAAGAACTAACCAAATATAAACTCTTCCTGAAGTAAGGAGCCCAGCAAAGAGTCTTACTCTCTGCACTCTAGTCTGTGATGATTAGTATATACTACAGGTTGTTTCCAGGAAACATACACTTGCAGAGCAAAACTACAAAGTTTTGGCTTCAGGAAAAGAATATAAGCTGATGTTGCTATTGTTAGACTTAAGGTTTATTTTGTGTTTCTATTAATTTTTCTATATTTTATATTTCCTTATATCTTATATTTCTATTAATTTTACTCTAAATTCATTTTATGTTAGATTTATTTCTAAAATTACTACTAAATTATATCTCTAATGTACTTCCAAATACTATTCTAATGGCATTGAGTCCACTACAGGCCCATTTATAAGTGATGATGTAAGATAAGTAATGCTTAGGGAGAGTGTGCACTTCTTGACTATTTCTATCTCCATTCTCTAAAGACAAAAGATAAATGAAAAAGCTGAATATAAAAACTTGATCTCATTTAGTTTGAATTAAACTATTCTATTCTGAGAATATCTGACCAAATTCATCCTCTCATAACTTATATTCCTTTTAAGAGAATGTAATAAAAATGGAACACACTATTTTTATAGTATGTTAAAAATAATGAGTGGGAAAACAGGACAAAAATCATAATAAAGTCATAATAAAGACTTTTAGCAAAAAATTTTGTCCATATCATGGGTACTCCAGTGGCAAAGATCAAGTATAGCCAGTACAAATTATAGCATATGTATAGAATCTGACATATAATCAAATAAATTATATCATCATGGAAATATTTTCGGTTTTTATGCTGAAATAGTCTTTCTGAAACATAAATCTAAAATACTTCTATATCAAACTAGTAAAACTTCTAAATAAAACTTCCAGTTATATATATATATATACACACACATACATATTCTAGGCATCTAAGCATGAACCAGATCACATAATGTAACTTTCCTGGCTTGCCTACTTTCTCACCTATAACACAAGGGAAAGCTCTTGAATTACTATAAACACATTTGAAGCTCTAACTGTATGATCTTCACTTACAAAGACCTAATAAAACACAATATTAGTTCAGGTAGAGTATCTATGTACATAACAGCTATTTAAATTATTTTTGAAATAGCATTTAGCAAAATAGTATAGAGAATCATGACTGTATATTGGTTAAGAACACAAGTTCTAGACTCACGATGTCTGGGTTAAGTCTTGATTCAACTGTGTTTTTGTTGACTGAAGTCTCTATGTCACCTAGCTCCTCAAATCTCAGTTTCCTTGTCTGTAAAACAGGTATTATAATGATAGCATCTACCTCATGTAAATATTGTGGGGAATAAGGAGGATAATCTATAAAGTATGTTGCACAGTGCCGGGCACATGAGTGTTCAGTAAATCTCAGTTACTATTAGAATCATGAAATAAAAGGACTAAAATAAAGATAAAAGATAAATGAAGAACAATGCAAACAGCAATGACCTACTTCTGAACAAGACACATTGGCATTTATTTGTGCTCTATTTGAAGCCCTCCACTAAAATACATTAAAGAAATTAAGAAGAAAAAAGACAAAAGGAGAGAGATCACTGATTAATGGCAACATTGCGGGGGGGGGGGGGATGGGAAGCTAGAAAGCAAATTAGTAATTTGTAGTTGATTTAGCAAAACAAAGAAAGCTAAAACCTGATTTTAAATCCTTTGGCTATATACTGAGGAGTGGGATAACTGGGTCAAATGATGGTTCCATTCCTAGTTTTTTCAGCGAATCTCACCATAGTGTATATCCACAGTAAATTAATTTTAAAAAAAGAAACTATGGGTAAATGGCAGAGAGATCAATAGAGGGAAGGGAGCAGGGGGTAGGAATGGGAAGGGGAAGGAGAGGTACTGGAGTCTGAATTAGAATAAAATATATTCCATGCTTGTATAATGACATCAACATGGATTCTAGCCAGGCATGATGGCACACACCTTTAATCCCAGTGGCTCAGGAGGCTGAGGCAGGAGGATCACGAGTTCAAGCCAGCCTCAGCAACCTCGAAGCACTAAGCAACTCAGTGAGACCCTGTTTCTAAATAAAATACAAAATAGGGTGGGGATGTGGCTCGGTGGTTGAGTGCTTCTGAGTTCAATCCCCAGTACAAAGAAAAAAAAGGATTCTACTGTCATGTACAACTAAAAAGAAACAATAAAATAATAATAATAAAGAAAACTAACACCTGAAATGCCTGCACAAAATAGCCAACAAGGAACAAGTTTCTCTGCACCACAATATTTCCAAATCGCTCAGGAATTCAAGCCTCAGGTTCCTACGACCAGGGAAAGGAAGGGGCCACAAAAATGGAACAACTGGCTCAAAGTCTATAGGAGGTGTTGTTGGGATCACAGATGCTCCCCTTGAGTAAACCACCCCAAGGATAAAGATCTATAGATCATTTTTGGGTCCCTCAATAAAAAAGCAATACCTAACCTCTACCAGTTGACAAACCCTACTAACCTTACAGAGCTGTGAATTGATTTTCTAGAGCCCAACCATCTTAAATATGAAGGGACATCCAACAACCACTGAGCATGGAAGGAAAGTGTCTAACTTGAAACACAGACATCTAAGCAAAAAAAAAAAAAAAATGAATGGGAAGAAACAGTATATATGTATGTGTACATACATACATATATATACACAAAGAAAAAAGTAAATAGATGTTTGGAAGAAAGAGCTGAGAAAATTTCTTAAAAAGTGAGAACAAAAAATGAGATAAAGTAGGTATCAAAATTAAAGAAAATTAGAGAATCACTCTAGGAGGTTTAATAGTTGATTAATAGGATTTCTAGAAATAGAAAGCCAAGAAAATGGAGCTTATATTCTTCTCCTGAAGCCAAAAATAAATATGAAAATTTCTGAGAACTAAACATCTCAGAGCTTGCTAAGAATCCAGTATAACATGGAGAAAAAAGACTCCCCCCAGCAGAAATCATCCTGAAATGAAGGTGAAAAAAAGATCCTAAATCTTTAAGACAGAAAATACAGATCATATACAAAGGCTCTGGAATAAAAATGTCAAAAGAGCAACAAAATTCTTAGCATAAATCAAATGTAAATGAAGAATAAACGCATTTTCAGACACAAAATTTGGAAACAAAATAATGAAATGCATCCTTCACACCAGGAAGTTAGGGCATTATATGCTCCATCAAAAGAAAGAAAGAAACCAAGAAA